TCTTTTTTTAATGAAAAACCGCCATTTATTTTACAACGTAAAGTATGGATAATTATATTTTATTTTTCTGCATACAGTTTTTTTGAACATTTTTTTTATAAAACTTCAGGAACTATTCTCTTCAAGTTTTTTCATTGTTCGATTTCTACCTCTGTTTCCACATCCTGTTTGTTTCTTATTATAATTAGCATACAGTAAAACCTCTATAAATTAATAATGTTGAGATTCTCAAATTTTATTAATTTATAGAGTTCTTAATTTATATAGATATTTTTAGTTTAAATTTTTAATATTCATCAAAAAAACAAAATCAATATTTTCAACAATGTAAAATTCATTCAAAAAATATCATAATAATAAATTTAGAAGATAAATCAAACAAATTTTATAAACGTGAAACAACAATATTATCATAGTTTACTATATTGTATTATTAATATATGCCTAAATGTATAATTATTAATTTATATTATTATTGGGACCATGTTTTTACATAGAACTTTCAAAAAAAGTATTATCATATTATCTTATCGAATTTTGTCAATTTTTACACTAGCTCAACTTGGGACCGGCAAAAATTATTAATTTATAGTGATTATTAATTTATCGAGTATTAATTTATAGAGGTTCTATTGTATCTTTTTTAATAAAAACATACAGTTTTTGGTAAATTAGGTGAACAGTAGGATAATGAGACGAAAAAGGCGATTTTAAAGACGATTTTATTACGGTTACTAAACTGGTTTTACCCCACCCCTTTGGTAGCGCTTCCTTACTTTTCCGATGAAGAAGTGGCGAGTTTGTCGGCAGTTCTGCACTCTTCATTGAGTATGCCCACTATCGACTACTAGATTGATCGTGATGACGGTTCCTTTATAGCAGTTTCAACAGAAATTGTTTATTTAAAGGCGATGTATACCCATCCACCATTTCAACCCAAATCTTAAAGTTTCTCATCTACTCATTCTCGAGTTTTTCCCTTTCCAAAAACCATGGCGGATAACTTACGCAGAGCAATTCAAGACATCCACATTGGAGTATAAGATCCTCCGTTTGTTTTACCGGAGGAAATTGTCCACCAGGCGCTGGCGGTGAACCAATTCGTTATCATCGATCGGCCGGTGATCCCGAGAAGACAAAATCTCCGATCAATTGTTGCTAATTTACCCATGATCTGGGGGGTTGATGGGCATGCGCATGGCAGAATCGTAGCAGGGCACCATTTCCAATTTGTTTTCTCAAACGAGGAAGCACTTGAATGGGTGTTACGAAGAGGGCCGTGGGCCTTCGCCGACCGTATGTTGGTGCTTCAACGCTGGACTCCAAGAACTAACCCGGAGGAATTAAATTGCATACCTTTCTGGGTGCAAATCAGGGGGATACCGTTTCAGTATCTTAGCCGAGATGTGATAGCGCACATTAGAAGAGCACTCGGGATGCTTCTGCAGGTTGAATACAACCCAGAAATGGCGGCTCGGGTGGAAATTATGCGGGTCTGTATCGATAGGGACATTCATCGCCCCTTGCGATTCCAAAGGAATTTCCAATTTGCTCCAGGAGTCAACACAATGCTCAGTTTCACGTACGAACGACTACGGGGTTTCTGCGAAGTCTGTGGTATGTTAACACACGACTCAGGAAACTGCCTCATCCAAAACGGAGGTCCAGACCCGGACAACATCGATGAACACGGAGATGATGGAAGCAATGACGAGATACATGGAAATCATGAGCACCCACAGCAACCCCAAGCCCTAGGAGTGATTATCGAGGAAATCAATGACGATGCAATGGATGCAGAAGCAATTCAAGAAAGACGTGAGAATGTGGATCCTGATGACGGTACTCAGGCTACAGAGCACCCAACGCTGGCCAGAGTCGAAGATACAGGACCGCCTGAACAGGAAGACAATATTAAGGAGGATGCATATCTTCAAGGTGGGATTTATCGCGGATCATCAATGCGCTCCATGACACTTAATGTTGAATATGATCTCGATGTCATTTGTAACTCCTATGATGAATACTCCATTGAAGCCAGAACAGCAAATTGCAATGCCAAACGCAAATACATTGAAGATGGTGGAAAGGTCGGGAGTTTCTTCTCAAAGCGGCTCGACAAGGGAGAGAGTAGAAGCACCAGTGTGAAGACAACAGACAATGCACTTAGAGGAGGCGCGGTGGGCCCTGAACCACAACTGTCGCCATGAGGACAGTCTGTTGGAACTGTCAAGGTCTCGGGAATGACTTGACAGTTCGACGCCTGCAGGAGATAAACCAAAAATATCTCCCAAACATCATTCTCTTATCAGAAACAAAGCAACAGGACAACTATATTCGTGGTGTGGGCGCCCAATTAGGTTTTCTTCATTATGTTTCAGTTCCTTCTTTAGGTCTTAGCGGAGGTTTAGCAATCTTTTGGAAACAAACTGTTAGTTTGTCATTGCTTTCTAAATATCCTAACGTTGTAGATATGGCTATCTCTAGTAATGGAATGAATTTTTATCTCACTTTGGTCTATGGTCACCCATCTGCTAGCTTACGACATCACACATGGGAAAGGTTAGAGAGAATAGCAGACTCTAGATTAGGTTCTTCTTGGATGATTATGGGTGACATGAATGAGATTTTAGGGAACCATGAAAAACAAGAGGGTCGGATAAGACCTGAATACTCTTTCCAAAGTTTCCGGAATATGGTGAATCAATGTGATTTCACAGATTTGAATACAATAGGCAATCGATTTTCTTGGTTTGGTAGAAGGGGAAATCATGACATTTCATGTTGTTTAGATAGGACGATGGCGAATAGCAATTGGCTAACACAGTTTCCAGCATCAGACACAGAATTTTTGGAGATATCAGAATCAGATCATAGACCATTAGTTACTTATATAACTGATGTCAAAGAGGAGAGAAAAGGCTATTTCCGATACGATGGTCGATTTAAGGACCAGGAAGGATTCAAAAATGCGGTACTTTAAGGTTGTACATCCCCAGGAAGATCAAATAATCACGCCCTGTCTATACATAAGAGACTACAAAACTGCCGATGAGTCATCTCACAATGGAAGAAGAAGAACCGTACTAATGCTGCAGAAAAAATAGCCCTTCTCCGCCATCAGTTAGATACAGCTATTTCAACCAACACACTTTCAACAACAGAGAGGAGTCAACTGCGAAAGGAGCTACATCAAGCTTATATTGATGAAGAACTCTACTGGAAACTTAAGAGTAAAATCACGTGGCTTAAGGAGGGAAATCGTAATACACACTACTTTCATAATGTTACAAAGACAAGAAGAGTTAAAAATCATATTTCTTAAATTTTAGATGATCAAGGAATCATGAGACGGAGCAACAATGCCATCGCAACGGTTGCTGCACAATATTTCACAACGCTTTTTTCTTCCACTACAGACCCAACACAATTCTTTGGAGAAATATTTCGTGGGTTTCAAAATAGAGTAACCGATGGAAAGAATAACGAGCTAACCCGAGAGGTTACTTCAGAAGAAATTACAACGGCTGTTTACAATATTGGAGCTCACCGTGCATCAGGACCAGATGGATTCTCGGCGGATTTTTACCAAAGCTACTGGCCTAAACTAAAAGATACGATTGAACCAGAAATAAAAGCTTTTTTTGGTGAAGGTTCGTTTGATAAGGCTCATAATCACACGAATATATGTCTATTACCCAAGGTCTCCCCGCCAACAAAAATGTATGATTTCCGGTCAATTGCTTTATGTAACGTTTTCTACAAGATTATCTCTAAAATCCTCGTTAACCGCTTAAAATCACATCTATTGAAGATGATCTCGGAAAACCAAGCGGCCTTTATCCCGGGAAGAATGACACGGACAATATTATAGTAGCACACGAAGTTTTTCAAAGCTTGAAGGTCAGTACAAGGCAGGCTACATCCTACATGGCGCTGAAAACAGATATCACGAAAGCGTATGACCGTCTGGAATGGTCCTTCTTAGCTGAAACCATGAAACAATTTGGATTTGCTGAGAAGTGGATCAACTGGATCATGACTTGCGTCTCAAGTGTTAGTTTTTTAATGCTAATTAATGGCTCGGTGGAAGCGATGATACATCCATAACGAGGGCTCCATCAAGGCGATCCCCTGTCCTCCTATTTATTTATCCTGTGTGTGGAAGTTTTATCTCACCTCATGAATATGGCTACATCGGAGAGACGTTTGCAAAGGATAAAGATTAGCAACAAATCCCCGGCAGTCAATCACTTATTGTTCGCAGATGATTCTCTGTTCTTCACACTAGCAAACCCAAAGTCAGGAAAAGAGCTGAAACAAATCCTAAAGCTCTACGAATCAGTCTCGGGCCAAGCTGTTAATCTCAACAAATCAGCCATAACGTTCGACAGTAAGGTTAATCATACAACTAAACGACAGATGCGACATCTATTAGGCATACATAACGATGGAGGTGGTGGTAAATATTTGGGTTTACCAGAACAATTTGGAGGTAAGAAAGGCGAACTGTTTCACTATATGAAAGAGAAATTTCAAGCACGTACAACAGGTTGGGACAAAACATTTTTGTCTCAAGGAGGAAAAGAGATTTTACTTAAGTTAGTGGCGTGTGCTATGCCGGTTTTTTCTATGAATGCTTTCGACTGCCAAAACACATTACAAATGAGATTAACACTATCTTAGCAAAATTTTGGTGGGGCAAAGGGCATAATCAGAAAGGAATGCACTGGTACAATTGGAAGCGTTTAGGGATACCTAAAACCGAAGGTGGGCTGGGATTCTGAGAGCTAGAACAATTTAACAAAGCACTATTAGCCAAACAGGTGTGGAAGATTTTACAAAAACCACGGAGTCTCATGGCTAGAATCCTCAAAGGACGATACTTTCCCGATGATACGATACTCCAAGGAAAGAAAATACAAAAAAAATCGTATATCTGGAACTCCCTTCTCCATGGCCGAGAACTACTAGCTACGGGTTTGTGTTTTATTATAGGGGACGGTTCAATCGTCAACACATGGAAGGATCCTTGGTTTCCTCTACATTCTCCGAGACCACCAAAACCGGATTCACAAACACCACCTGATGGCCCTATCAATATGCTATTCAATAATACAAATACAGGATTGAATGAAGCTAAAGTTCGCGAGATAATTGCTGCAGAGGATGTTGACCATGTATTACGGCTCAAATTATCCACTAAAGGTATTCACGACTTATTAGGATGGTCATATACCGAATCTGGTTTATATACTGTCAAATCATGATACTGGCTGGCAACACATTTACCATCTTCACTACTCATTCAACCCCCGATGGGAGGAGCCATATTAAAACAAAACATCTGGAAAAGCAGGATCACCCCAAAGATAAAACACTTTCTTTGGAAAATGGTGTCAAGTTCACTGGGAACAGGGGAAAATCTACGCAGAAGACATATTACCAGCCACATAATTTGTCAATGTTGTTGTCTTGAAGAAGAAACTACACAACACCTATTCTTTACTTGTCCCTATGCGCAATCAGTCTGGAGAGCATCAGGCTTTTCACCACCGGAGCTATTTGACCTTTCGACAACACTGGAAACAAAGATAGAAGCATGTCTTAACTCTTCTCGGGGATCTACCTTTCAAGAACTTCCTTTATGGATCTTGTGGCGAATTTGGAAGAGTAGGAATATCTTACTATTTCAACAGAAACATATATCATGGCTAAGTAGTCTACGTTATGCTCGAGATGATCAGAAGGAATGGCAAGACACGGAAAAACGAGTTCAAGAGCAAGAGAGTTCACAAACGAGCGCCCAACAAGGTCCTCGACAGATGGATAATCGCAATAGTCTGCGAACTAAAACACCATGGCAACGACCACATCCAAATTGGTTCAAATGCAATTATGATGGTTCATTCATCGACAAAGAAACAAGATGGAAAAGCGGCTGGGTACTAAGGAATACACACGGATAATTTTATGGTGCTGGACAAACAGAAGGAGATAGAGTTCAGTCTCCCTTTGAGAGTGAGCTACAAGCTATGCAACAATGCTGGGACAAAGGGTATTGAAAAGTTATATTTGAAGGAGATTGTCAACGAGTTGTGAATGCAGTCACAAGAAAAAGTTTACACTTTAAGGCACATAATTGGATTCGAGATATAAGATGGTGGGCAACTCAATTTGATGAAGTCAAGTTCACATGGATATCAAGAGTTTCGAACAAAGCTGCAGATATACTGGCCAAGTCACCCATAGCAGATGGAATCACATCTCAATATTATCATTACTTACCAAACATTATATTATCTGATCTTAAATGATGACATTGTAACATCTTACATTTAATTTATTTAAGAGGAAAAAAAAAAACATACAATTTTTGTGTTTTGTAAAATTGATATTTTGCATTTTAAGTTTATATCTTAAAAGGCCCAAAAAACCTCCATAAAAATAAAGTCACATTAGTTAATATTATGTGAAAACCCAAAATACTTAAAGCCCAAAAAATAAAATTAAAAATGCTGATGTGGACACTCTCGATGGAGAGAAACTTCTCTAATTATATATACTAGGGATGTTTCCGCGCTACGCGCAGACTGTTTATTATAAATATTTAATTATTATTTAAGTTAAATTATTTTATTTTTAAATCAATAAATATTTGATTTTCAATATCGTTTTGATCGTTATACATTGATTTTTTTTATTGTTTTCAAAAATATGTTATGATTTAATTTAACAATTTACTAACTTGATATATGTGAACATCAACTATTGATCTAAAACTTAATTATTGATCTGTATTTGTATAGTGTTATTGTGTTTGTATAATGTTTTTATTTCATTAGCAGTCTCAAATATAAAACAAATGAAAGAAGAAGTTTGAGGCTCCTAAAACCATCCACATCAGCAAAAAACAAATCTCTATAATCATGCCACATCAGCAAAATTTTAATAAAAATAATTCTTAATATATTATTAACATGCTTAAAATTAAATTGTGTTAATTAACAATAATAATAATGTTTGAATATTGATTAAATTGTATGTACTATGATAACAAAACATATGACATATTATAACTAGATTTTAACAAAAATTATATTATATTATATATATATAATATTTTAAAATTTTGACACCTCAAATTAATAATAATCACATGTTTAAACTAAAAATTGTTAAAATAAAATATTATGAGGTATTAAGTTCGTTCACACATTAATTAAAAACATCAAATACATATGATTATGTACATACTATTTCTATATTTTTGGCTAAATATTTTTAAGCATAATTTAAATTAATTACAGTATAGTATGAATCATCATTATAGTCATGGATATGTAAAAATATACTTGCATAACTTTATATTAAATATTAATATATTACACTTCCTTGTTTAAAAATAGTATATATAATTTTATATAAAAGAAAATATCATAAACACTTCTCTAACCATGTACATCAACAAAAAAAAGAATTTTTTTACAAACTCAACATGTAAGGAAAACTTATATGTTTTTCTTTGTTAAGAAACCATTTTAAAAATGATATAATATATATTATTAATTTAATTATAAAATTTCACCAAAATATATATGTAGTGTAAGAAAAAAATTTAAGTCAAATTACAAGCAAATGTAAATGAATCTTATACACATTTTGAGTTTTGAGAAACTCGACATACTTTGTTAGAATGAGTTAGTATGAAGATGTATTTGTATATGTATTACTTTATTTATTCATCTACACTACTATAGTTTACAGATACCTCAGAGACCAAATAAAAAATACAGTTTATCAATATGATTGTGATTTTGTATAATATGTAAATATTATTTTTATTTATATAAACTATAGTTCTTTTACGGATTTGTAAGAATTTTGAACATTAATTGTTGTTTTATATTTAAGACTGCTCATAACAAAATCCATTACACGAACACAATTGAAATAAAAAGATATCTAAATTAATTAGAACTAAATATAGTTGTTTTAATTGTAGCCATATGTTTGATAAGTAATTTTTTTTAAATGAAAAAAATTTGGTTTAAAATTAAATAAAGAGGAAACTTATAGTTGTTGAGTTCAATTATACATCAAATTTAGTTAAAACAAAAATAATTTTAATCATTGTTTGGAAGTTGGTGAGCAGTAATGAGTTTATATGTAAATATTATGTTTTATATTAACGCTTAATTTTCACATATATCAAGTTAGTTAATTTTTTAAATTAAATCATAATATATTTTTCGAATACGTTAAAATCTTTTAGATGTATGACCACATTAAAATGATATTGAAAATAAATATTATATTTAAAATTTTAATTTATAATTAAAATACTAAAATAATAATTAATATTTATGAAAACAATCCATGCGTAGCGCGGTAACATCCCTAGTAAGAGGAAAAATAAAAAAAGAAGAATAAAAGAGTGCTCTAACATTTACCACATTCCTCGGCACCAACATTGCCTCCCTCTCACGTGACACTTAATTATAATTTGGTTGCTTAATAGTTAATTTCATTTTCCAACATCTACTACATATGCATTTTGTTTATCCCACACGCACTCTGTTTTCTTAAAATTTAGTTGCCGGATTCTTTGTAACACCCGTCTCTCATTATCTTAAGACGGCGTGCCACCTACTTAACTTTCTAATCAAGTTATCACTCTTTCAACTTAAAACCAATATTCATTCATAAATATTACTCAAAAAGTCTTGCAAACCGAACTTAAACTCAAAATAACCTCAATAGATCCTTAAAGAAAAGAAAAGCCATATAAAAAGCAAGCTAAGTGTTTTAGGTTCCCAAGATCGAACTAATAAACACTAATACCACCACCATGTGGTCACTGCTGCTGCTCACCTGCGAAAGAGAGAAAATGGACAGGGAGGGGATGAGTAATTTAGATTACCCAGTAGAATGCATACATATGGTCCACCACACATATCACAACCTAAACATGTCGCTAGCCATAAGCTAAACGAACAAGCATTCACAACTCTTCAATAATCAACAATCAACAAACAATCATAATACATCTTTAATAATCAACAATCAACAAACAATCATAATAGATCTAGGTAGGAACTATATCTACCATAAACACAACAAGCAATCACATTAGGTCTAAGTAGGAACTGCATCTACCATAACCTCAACAACCCTACAAGTGGAACTGCATCACTTTCAACAATCGGTATAGGTAGGAACTGCATCTACCATAATCCCAAACAATCCGATAAGTGGAACTACATCACTCACGACCCTTATGTCTAGGTAGGAACTGCATCTATCATAACTCAACAATCCGACAAGTGGAACTGCATCACTTTCGGCTCCTAATGCAATTGTTCTTAACACTCTATATGCAATGCAATCCATAATTCTCACAAGCAATCAAACACCAAACAACAATCAACAATATTAACCATGGTCCTAGATCTTTGTTCAGAAACAAGCAAAAAGTAAATCAAAGCACACAACAAGCAACTACAAGTTACGTCATAAACGCAATCTGATGGGGAAAGGAAATTCACCTATCCTTAACCAGAGACAAGCGCGGAAGATAATGCGGAAGGGAAGGCATGGATACATCCTCACCTTTCACGGATTGAATGAACAGCAAAAGCAAAAAGAGTTAAGGTTTAGGGATCTAACAACAAGAAGCAAAAAATGCAAGGAGACGGCGAGACGGCATAACAAATGGTTACATGGCTCCTCTCTCCCTCGGCAGCGGATGGCGATGGCTGAAGGCTAGGGTTTAGGATTTATATCTCTGAGTGCTCTGGGAATTGTGATGGAGAATCTAGTTCTCTAACTCCTTTTTTATAGAGGAAGGGGAACTTTAGGGTTAGAGTTTTTATAACCTAATGAGCTTAACGGACTTTTGGACTTCAAACATTAAAGAAAAAAATAACATACCGGTTTAGCAAAACCGGATTATTACATTTTTTTTCAGCAAATACGGTCCTATAAATCGTTAAAATCGTTTTGATCAACTTTAGGCAAGCTCTAACTATATCATCTCAACAACCAACAATTCTAAAAAGACACCTAACCGGCCATTAGATCGGCTAAACGGATGTATAACAGTTAAACCTAGTCTAACCAATTGAACCGGATTATTGAATTATATACTTATATGTATATAGTCCAATTACTTTCTGGATTTTGTATGGTTTTCTATGTTTTAATCATTTGGGTTTGAACTATATCAGCGTGTGTTTCAGTTTACTGTTGGATCGGTTCAATCAGACCCTTTGGTATTGTTTTAAAAGAGTGTAGTTAGCTAGATCAAAATTTTACAATAGTTAATATGTAGTTGGAAAACTATTTTTCCTTCTATTTTTCTAGGTATTCAACAGTGATATTACTTTTCGATTGATAATTCTCAATTGCTTAATGATTGGAAGAACTCATTGGTATTCAGTTGAACTCATTCATTACGTACCGTAGTTTCTCTCTCAGGTAAATACCGTAAAATATTATATATCACTAGATATATAAACTCGGGTTGTCACTACAAAAAATTATGTGAATTGTATCATTTATTTTATTTGTTACTATCATTTTTTGATTAATACAAATTCAGTTGCATTATTTAATTAAATGACTATGGAAGTGATGATACTAATCATTTATATAAATATTATTAATGATGCAACTATTTTCATCATATATATTAATTGATATTAATATATATCGTTTGCAATAAGTGATATTAAAATTTAACTCAGTTAAATAAATGATACTAATATTTACATCACGTAACATAAATAATATTAATATTTACATCAGTTATAATAAATGATATTAATATTTACTATCAATTATAATAAATGATATTATACATTAAAATTCAGGGATATTAAAAGGGTAATTTTCATAATTACACTGAAAATAAGTTTTCAGGACAAATATAACAGGGAAGCTAAAATTTTTCCACCCCTAACATTTTTCATTTGAGTTTTTCGATTTTACCTTTTAGGAAAGTATTCCTAAATATTTTTTTTTCTGTTAATGTTTCGTGACTTTTTTAAGAATATCTTCCAAATACTAGAATCTAACATCATATCACATGGTTTAGGAAAGCTTTCCTAAATGTTTTAAAATTTCCTAAATTGTAGAAGAGCTTCCTGAATTGTGGAAGGTTTTCCTGAATTGTGGAAAGGCTTCTTGAATTTGAGTTTATAAATTAACAAAAATAATAATCAATTATGCGATTTAC